TACGAAAACATTGGTGAATGCCACAAATTCTCCTAAATCACTCGTACGCACAATTTAAGAACAAATCTGTGCGTACGAACGGTTCTGGCATGAGGTCCATTGATAAAGTTTGAAAATCTATCTGTTCAATCTAGTGCTAGTGTTTTGGTTATTGTTGTCTAATTTGAGTAGAAATATAACTTTTAAAGCTCTTGCACCTTGTTGGGCAGAATAAGGAGAATTGAAATCTGTCTCCTCCCTTTAGGGACCAAACACTTCCTGCTCATGTGTAACGTAAAAGCTGAAGATGCTGGAGAAATCCGTTTTGTCTCCCGCGATGTTGAATCAACAGCTTACCTCGAGGTCGAAGGTGAGTCTAATTTTTTTGTCCCCCCTTTTTTTTTAACTTCAACTTTTCTTCTGGCTTGATCCAAGTTTAATAGTTCCGTCTTAAATATCCCCAATCGTCTCACGTCAGAGCTTCCAGTTTCCATCGTGAAACCACTGCGAGACAGAACAGCCCTCGAGAAACACCGGGTCATCCTTGAATGCACCGTGTCCTCCCCTCGTTGCAACGCGACCTGGTACAAAGGCAACCAGGAGCTGGTCTCCTCAGACCGGGTGGAGATCACAGCTGACGGCTGCACTCATAAGCTGGTCATCCACCAGGTAGCTGTGGAGGATGAGGGCACCTACAGCATTGAGGTTGGGGAGCACACCTCCAAAGCAAAGCTGATGGTTGAAGGTAAGCTGGAAGCTAAAGAGAGGGAAAAAATGTCTTCATGTGTAAAAACACTTCTTTTAATGCTCATTTTCTCTAATATCATGATGCTTTCCACTGTTGCAGCCCAAGAGCTTGTGATGGTTACAGAGCTACAGGATGTAGAGGTGACGGAATCAGAAGCAGCTTCTTTCCAGTGCGAGGTATCTGTTGCCATTCACAAGCTTCCAGTTTGGACCTTAAATGGAGCGGCCCTTCAGCAAGGTCCTTCTGTTCGACTGGAGGACCACGGAACTGTCCACAAGCTCACGCTGAGGAACACCAGCGTGGACATGAGTGGGACCGTCAAGTTTACCTTAGGCAAGGCAAAGAGCAGCGCAACGTTCACAGTAATTGAAAAGTAGAGGATTTCACCCTGAAAAACTCCACCTGCTTGTTTGGGTTTTGTTCAGAATTAAAGTTTCAATGAGGCCAGATGTTTATGTCAGTCAAGACAGGCCTTTTTTTTACAGTGTAGATAAAATTTACTGTTGCTTGATTAATATTTATAGACTAATTCGCAATTTATTCATCAATTTTGATAAAAAAAAATGCTGTCACAATAAAGAGCATTTTAAATGTGCAATTAAAAACCTACAAGATGAACTTGTGTGTCTCGTTTTCTGTCTGTCAGTACTAAACGTTGGTACTTTTGCATAAAAATACTTTTAAAAATTAAGAACGTGGCTGACAGTTTCACTCTTAAAAAATTGTTCTTCCCAAAGAAAAATTATTTTAAAAGATATTTAATACAATTAATTAATGCAATAGGATCAAATATAAAAAATGATAAAGTTAAAAAATATCTATCAAAAATTAATTTGGGGATCTACTTATTATAACGGGTGTCATTTTAAAAATGAACGTGTTTTTTTTTTTTTTAAAAAGCAAGTGCAAAATGAAAGTATGACTACTACATTTTTAGCTAAAGTTAGTGTTTGATATAAAAAAAGAGCTGTACTCTAAAATGCAAAACAGATTATTTCTTATCTGAGCCAGAAAATGTAGCATACACATGGTAGTTAATATTTAACTGATGTATTATTCAAACATTTTATTGTAAAACATGTCAATTTCCATAAAAGTGTATATCATACGTCTTGTTAATTTGACTAAATGGCCTAATTAGCTGTTCCGTTTGTCAAATTAACAAGAAGTTTATAGTAATGCTAAATTAGTTTTACAAGTTAGATAAATCTGGTAATAAAACACTTCTGAAAATAAATGTGAAGATTTAACAGGAAATATTTGCTCTAACTCATACAAGTGTAATCCTGCATGTGGCTCACCCAGCTTTCAAGATCCCAGCCTAAAATTGATATTTAAACTACTTATCTCTTAGTTGAATGTAGGTTTGAAACAAGTAAATCACATCTATCTATGGAGGTAAATTTGTGTTTTTATGATTCAATCAAACAAAAAGCATCTTCAATCAAAAATAAATTTTTCAACCAAACAAAAAATAATTTCAATCAAAGTTAATA